AGAATGGATTAAACAACGGAAATTAATTTATAAAAACATGAATCGAGTTAGATTTACAAAAAGCTGTATTAACAGAAAGATTGTGCCTTCACATTTAAACAGAATCATTAAGTTCACATCAAATTTTGATTTGAAAAATTCTTCAACAAATAAATTGAATAATATTCGGGATGATTACATTAAAAGAATTCTCAAGGTGGAACTTAGTGATGCATATTTGTCGATTAATATCGCGAGAAATAGAACTTTCCATCTTGCTCGCATTGCTTCAAGGGGGATTCCTATAAATATATTAAATAATTTTTTTCAATCTCAGGACAAAAAGATATATAACGAGTTCTTACTTGCAAGAAAAAGGATTAACAAAAAGAATGCTTGTTTTAAAGGCTAAATTTTAAAGAAAAGATGAAAAGAAGGGGAGAGATAAGGAGCATTGAGTACTTCTGGATGAAGTACATGATAGTGACAGTGACATTGGCCAGTTGTTTCACAATAAAAGGATTACACCTTCGGAGGGATACAACTTGGTTGAGGTTACTGTCGCTCCGAATGAATTTGAAATTAACAAATGTTCATTATCATGTTTAAGGGATAAATGGTTCACTAATCTTTCATCGGTTTCTATTCCAGAGTGTGTTCAGTGCCATTTGCAATTAGGTGGAAACTTTTCGCTTCCCATTTGTTATAATAACAAATTAATTTTTGAAATCATAAAAATGTTGAATTCAATATAAAAAAATTACAGACGTCTGTTCACAACTCAGTTAGAAATAATTCTATTGCAATAATAAATAGCCTATTTTCTCTCAAACCAAAAAAGAATTTTGTTACCAAAAAATTACAAAAAGCAACACGGTTAAGCAATTTTTAAAGGACAATAATAACATTATTTTCACTAAAGCTGACAAAGACAGTTTAACGGTAGCACTAGACAAAAACATGTATTTTGAAAAAGTTAAAACAATGCTTGATGATAAAGACACGTACATGAAAATTCTCAAGGATCCCACGAGTAAAATTAACAGTAACTTGAGGCAACTGTTGGCAGGATGGAAAAAACAAAATTACAATTAAACTAAATTGCCCATTTAGAATCATCATATCCTCTTTGGATAGTATTGGGTATGGGAATAGGTTTCCGCCTATTGTAGAAAGATGTCGTTAGTAGCATTGCTTGTGTGTTTGATAGAACGGTAACACATGTGTTTGAAAGGTTTGTGTTCAAACTTTTGAGCCCAATAGTTGGCATTCGTTCGAAGCGTAAAAAAGAGTAACTTTTTTTGCGTTGAAGATGTCGGAATTTATTCCAAAAAAGCAACATTTGCGGGAAGTTTTACTCCATTATTTTATTTTAAAGGAAAGTGCTGCAAAATCGCATCGTTTGCTCATAGATGTTTACGGTGAGCATGCTCCATCGAAAACCAGTTGTAAAGAATGGTTTCGGCGATTCAACAGTGGTGATTTTGACGTGCGTGACAAAGAACGCGAAGGAACAAATTTGAAGATGCAGAATTGCAAGCATTACTCGAAGAAGATTCAAGTTTATCGCTCGATAGGTTGTCAAAAGAGTTAAATGTTGATGGATCCACTGTTGGAAAACGTCTACACGCAATGGGAATGGTGCAAAAAGAAGGAAATTGGGTGCCATACAAATTGAAAGAGAGAGACATGGAAAGACGTTTGGTCATCTGCGAGATGCTTCGTCAACGACAACAAAGGAAGGGTTTCAGTAGATATACTAGGCCGGTTCTAACCCATGGGGCTAGAGGGGAGCGCGGGGTGCGCGAGATACTCGTAGGCGAGGGGAAGCGTAGCGCGAGGATTCTTCGGTGGTGGGGGTATGACGTCATGCGGAATGGCAGTAAGATTTTGGGGATTGCAGTCACGTACAAGTCAACAAAAAAACATCACAAAAAAAGGAAATATTGCCATGAACAAAAAACAATACAAAAAACAAACAGTTATAGAACGAAAAGTGTTACAAAGGGCATATACTCCAACCGTTTTTCGACCAAGATATAGCGTAATGTAATATTTCTATAGAAACAATATTTATTAATTATTTTAAATACCTAAATACAACCAAGTTTCATAATTATTGAGAGTAGGTATAGTAGGCGAGTTCTAACTCTATGTGGCTAGAGCGCGGAGAAGGTCCCCCGGTCGCTACTGCAATCCCGCGACCACCCCAAAAATGCATTGCGGGCCGCCGCCGCCGCTGCCGCCATGGGCCACCGCCACCTGCCCATAAAAGTACAAGAACCTCTTTTTCCTTTTGTCTTTTTATAACTTAGTTTTCACAATACGCTGTGTTCTTTTCTTTTTCTTTTACTAGGGCAAAGGATATGACGGATGGGTAGTAAAATAAAGTACATATACATATATAGTGATGCGAACGAATTTAATTTTATTCACATCTTATTACACCGATTTTTCTCATTTTATAATATTCTTTTGCGATTAGCAGCGTTCGAACACGATCAGTGGCTCGGACGTCGCTAGCAGCGGTTTCTGGAAAAAAAAGAATAAAAAAACTTTTTGATCACTATTCGCTTTTTTAACGGAGAATAATATGCATTACACTAGTCACCGTAAATGCAATACTTTATGGCTTATATTTTGATTGCGCTGATGATGAGGAACTCGTTGGTGACTTTAATGCTTTTTCGTTGGGACATTCCCAATATCTCGGGTTTTCCTTCGATTGTGATGGGGGACTTGGCGGACCTTGCTGTAAGGGACGGTACCCCTTGCACTCGATCGATTTTCGATGTATATATTCTTTTACTCGATCCATATCTTATCGCTCGTAATCGAAGTTTACGATTAAACGAAAAAAGCTTTGTACACTGTTTATATACACTGTCAGATCGGTGACATGTCGTGACGCGCTAAGAGAAGCGCCGATATTTCGGATACTAAACAAAAAAAACATAACTTTTCTGCAGTAAATGTAGAATGCAGGATGTGCAGGTATCCGCACAAAGTTAACGCTCGAGTTTTATGTTAGGTTAGGTTAGCGCTTTGTCCTAACGACTATTTTGTCGGAATTTTCACGAAATGGAGAAATCATGGAGTCCATTGGACATAACGAAATATATAATATATCATAAGTGCTCGACACCTCAGTTGGTGTCTTGAGAGATTGTCGAATCGATCGCAATAAGAGCAGTGCGAAAAGTGTGGCTAACCATCGTGCGAACGTCGTGGATATAGCGGACATAACCGAGAACATTGGAAACGTGGATCCTGAATAGTTCGCAAATATTTGAGATGAAGTGTGTTTTATAATAGTTTTAATGTTTTATAATACTATTTGAACAGTAATGTGAACAGTATTGTGAACGAAACATGGATCACGATGAGATAATGGAACGAATGAAGATGGAGTACGATGAAAGCAATGTATTGCATACTAGAAAAGATGCGATACGCGTTCTAGGAAAAGTCGTGACAGAGAGAGACACAAGTGTGCGAATATCACCGGTGCAATTTCTACGCGATCGAGGGTTAGGAATATGCGGCCAGCGTGTCAGGAAACAAGCAGAAATTCACAACGAGCCCGTTTGTTTCTGGCCTTTATTCGCGCGACAGAAAGTGTACACGCGGTTATTCAATAAACATTGTGAGAACTATGACTTTGAAAATAGATATAAAACTGACAATTTAACAGACGACTTTTTTTGTGTGTCGAAAATCGCAATGCAGACCGTTTATTACTGCTACAGAAACATTACGATTCCCGCGGGTGGTGAAAAAATAGCCAATCTGTTGATAGGTGGTGATGCAAATATGCCATGTTATTACTGCGAGGATCCTGCTTTAAAAAAATATTTTCGTGACATGTGTGATGATGAATGCTTTGTTTGTGAACATGCTGTTTCGCATTAGAAAATTATCACATGGCGCGAATGTACTATGCAATTATAGATATGGAGCGGTGGTGCAACGTGTGTGATCGAGTCACTTGCAAGTGCTCCGTGGAAGAGTGCGACGTGATCTAAAGACTTTGATTTAAAAAACATGGAAAACCACGAGCAAGTGGAACGCGAATTGCTGGAGCAGTGCGGTCAGGTCGCTACTTTGGTTGAATGTTTCGCGTGGCTGCAACGATGCGACGAGTGCATCGAGCGGCTCGAAGAACTTTGTTGTGCCAAGCGTCCGCGCCCCGCTGTTGGACATAGACAATCCGTGGTGGCGAGGATCGCGCGACTCGCGGG